CACTGTCTCCAGTTACCTGTGAACAGAGAGCCCTCCGCTGCTGTGGAAATGCTTCATGCAGGGTCCCAGGGGAACCTGACTCCTGTGGCTGTGCAGCTGCCACCAGTGGGGAGCGCCATGCCTCCTGGCTGCTTCCGACCTTGCCCTGGCTGTACTCAAGAGTTGCAGAGCCCTCCACACACTGGGCCACGGGAAAGTGGCAAGAGGGTCTCACACTTTCTGGTATACTATTCACACTTCTCAGAGTCTTTCTTGGACTTGTGAGGCTAAAAAATCTCATTCAATATCAACTTGCCACTCATCACAGAGTTCCATTATGGGCTGTGCCAGAGTAGAGCAAATCTAACCTGGTGCTCTCCTTTTAGTGCCTCGGGGTGACCGGGTGTTGCTATTGGGTCAAGCCCCATTTCCTTTTTTGGGGATACTTTTTGTGTGTTTGATCTTTGGGAAGTTCCTTAATTCCTTATGCAAAAGCATAATCTATAGACTCTTCGAACTCATTTCAGACATTATATCACCATGGTAGTAAATTTCTTCTTAATCAGGGGCCCCTACCTCCACATATAATTTAAATAAATTACAGATTTAAAGCTTTCTATTTAAATCTGAAAATGTACCAAGCAATCCTTTGGAAATCTTTTGACCTCATTTCTTGGGTTGCCAAATGGTTTCAACACATTGAAGAAACCCTTGAAACATTTGAATTCTGTCCCATCCTATCTAATAATAGACAAACATGGTAATTGACCATACCTTCCATACCCCTCCCATTGGCTAATCAGCACCATATGCAAATTAACTGCCAACAAAGATGGCGGTTAATTTGCATATACCAGCTGGGAGTGAAGACTGAGGACAAAATGGAAGCGAAGCGCTACAGAAGGGAGCAAAGTAGAGGCGGCGGAGACAGGAACGAAGCCAAGACTGAGGAGGCAGGAGGCGGGAGGGGAAACCCACCCCAGAGGCGGGAGGGGAAACCCACCCCAGGAGGCTGGGAGCAGGAGGGGAAACCGGCCACAGTGGCTGGAAGCGGGAGGGGAAACCCAGCAGGAGCGGCTGGGAGCGGGAGGGGAAACCTCAGCGGGTTTCGCTCCCTTCTCTGCTTCGCTCCAACTGCTGGAAGCCCTATTCTTGCAGGAATCTTCCTGCAACGGGCCTCTAGTCTTTCCATAATAATGGAAGAAAGGGATTAAACAACTTCTTAGTGTGAGAAGCTCTTTTAAGTAAAGGCTTGTTGTCTTTCAGGTTTTTCTGTATCTCCTGGTTTCTCCAAAGATGTGTCTTCAATTACAGCCCCTTTATTAAATTGATTTGGTATGGCTTTTCAACAAGTCTTTTGCTTTCAAGTTGGGGGAAAGTAAATTAAATGTAGTGAGATAGAATTAAGACCTTAAATAAACTATTGGGAGACTATGCCATCAATTCCCGATTCCAATGGACTCAAACAGAGCCATTCTCAGCTAATGTGTGGGCTCCTGGCAATAAAAAGAGGAACAAGTAGGAGTCAAATGTTCCTTCAGCAAAATGATGTCAGTTACTTCTCAAGGTTCCCAAGAAGTTGCTTTAAAGTCATCTTAATATGAGGAACATATTTCCTTCATGTGAGGCTAGTAAATTGAGCCTCCCTAGGATAATTAATTAATTACCCAATAATTTATTAGTTCCCACTGGGATGAGGTGTGCTTGCCCTTAGTCAGGGAGAAACTTAGCACCAGGCTTCGGTGGAAATAAATGAAGACCAGCCAAATGAGCACAAGCACAGGCTATTTATTCAGAGCTTGCAAGGGAGGCAGACACTGTCACTTTTCATCTTGGCAGAGATGCAAAGGCAGGCAGAGGACTGGGAAAAGTTTATAGTGAAGAAAAGAGGAAGGCTTCAGCTATGCCCCAAATGGAGGCTGTTGGCCTGGGGAAACTTAGGTGGGTGAACTGGAAATGGGGCAGCACAGGGTACTTACTGGCGAGGGGTTCATATTTAGCTTTCTCTGGTTGGCCCTAAGTTGGAAGCGGGGACAAAAATATGAAGGAACCCATCAGTTAGTGAGTTCTGGCTACTTGGGGTGGTTGTTATAGAGGTTACTGGAGGCCCAGTGCATGAAATTCGTGCAAGGACCTTGGCCCTGGCCCCCACCTGCTGCAGCTTTGACTGGAAGAAAGGACGTCCTAATTAGCATATTACACTTTTATTATTATAGATTGTTTGGCTTCCTGGCAAAGTACAGTTGCTAGATACAGTACTTTGACTACCTACAAGGCTGACAAAAGCAGGCTGGCTTCCTGGGCTGGGTTCTGTAGATAATGGGTTGGTGGGTGCTGCAGATGGCTGGTCAGAGTTCCATTTTTATATATGGTCTGACCATTGTTTGTTTGTATATTCACTCTCTCACTTCATTTGTGGAGGGTCAAACAAAACCAGACTATATACTGTTTCCCTCCACACATTTATAGTACTAGAGCTCATCTATCCTTTGAAGCCAATAGGAGCTTTAGGCAGAATGACACCTACATAAGCCTCCAGCTAGAGTTGAATTTGCATCATACAATTAGAAATAGGGGGCTGCTGTTGCTTTAATGGTGGAGGGTGGGATTTTCTGGAGGCAGGAGTTGGAATCCTGGCCAGGAGACAGTTGCTTATCCATAGGCTGAGGAAAAATGATGCGGGAGAGTTGGGAAGATAAGGGAATGGGTAAGCGAGGTGGTATCTACTTAGGGCAACCTCCCAAGGCCTAAATACAAACCTCTTGGGTCCTCCTTGAATTGCCCTGAGAAAATGAGCTAGAAACAGAACCCCAATTCCAAATCTTGTCTCCCTGATTTGCTTTGTGATACTTGTTGGGTGCCTCGAGGAAAGAACTGTTCCTGCGTGTGTGGGCTCAGTCAGGGAGCATGGGCATGGTGGTTTTGGAGAAGGACAATATCCTAATCAGTTGGTTGGGCCCTGGATGAGAAAGGGTTGAGGGCTGTCCTCATTTATTCAACCAATGAAGACTATTAGATAATAGGTCTAAAAGCAAGTAGGCATCTCCCTTTAGTAGAAGACAGCGAAGTCATTTTCTCTGATCTTTCTTTCAGTCTATTGGCAAAACAAGAGGAAGCCCAGACCACCTGAGCAATATTAAAAAACAAACAATCAATCAAACAAAAACCCTCCCAAATAAACTTACAGTAAAACAAAATCAAAGCTAGCCTCAAGCCTTGGCCAGTGTTTCTTAGTGGTTAGAGCTTAGGCCCTTGGACCAAAGGGACTATGGATTTGATTCCTGGTCAAGGACACATACCTGGTTACAGGTTTAATCCCTGGCCCCAATCAGGTACATGTGGGAGGCAACCAATCGATGTGTTTCTCTCACATTGATGTTTCTCTCCCTGTCGCTCTCCCTCCCTTTTACTCTTTCTAAAAATCAATGGAAAAATATCCTTGGGTGAGGATTAACAATAATAACAAAAAGCTAGCCCATAAATAATGTCTCTGGTCTGGTTTTGATATAGAAGTTGAGACAAAATATTGAGCCAGATTTATTATCTTTTGATGGATATATTTTCTTATTTTTACTAATCAAAAAATATCTTTCCTTAAGGAAAGTGATCATAATACTCAAGGCACTAAGCTTTTCATAATAGATTTTATAGTATAATCTTTTTCATAGTGAAAACTCAGATTTGATATATTTAACAAAAAGAATATTTTTTAGGGTTAGTAAAACTTAAGTCTTTTAGGGTATAAAATAGTGAATTATAAAAAGAAAAATCTTCAGATACTTAAGGGCTCATGTTTATACTTTCAGTTCTTCTGAAATACAGTTATTAGCATATAGTTATTCTGTGATGCAATTATTGCTTATATAAAAAAATCATAATGTATTTTTGACTCAAGGACTTTTGATAGTAGATTAAATAAAGTTTAATTTAGATAATGAAGTTGAAAGTAAGAATAGGACAATGCTGTTTGAAGAGTAACTTCAAAAGAGAACTATTCCATACATCTGTATAGATAAGTATCTGGGAGTCATCATTACAAGTTTACCACAGATACCACACAAATAACTGGAGACCCAGTGGTCAAGCTTTAAAAAAATAATTGGAGAAACTTTTATTTCTACATTTTGATTTGAGACTAGTGGTTTGTGCAGGACTAAGCACAGGTTAGATTTTTGTTTAATTTTTCAAGGACAATGTATTCTTTAGCTGGAGACAAGAGGTTCACTTGGTGACAGAAATGAAAATAGAATAGTTTTATATAAGGACAGGAATACATTGAGCTAAAAGATAATACTTGGATCAAGTTACTAAACCTCAGAAAAAATATAAACTATTACATCAACAGTGACAAAATACATGATGTATTCTCTATCTCAGAGATTAGAAAATGATTCAACTGGACTATTTTGCTTTGTTTTCAGAACATGGCAAGTAATACATTTCTATTTATGAGAGATAGTCAATTCAAGACTTTTTGATTTATTTGGTCATACATTTGTAAAAATATGATTATTGGTTTGGTTGAAAAAATATTGAAGTTTCCATATAAAAAATGTTTTTATTTTGTTAATACATTAGCACATGAATATAAGAAACCATTTTTTCATCTTTTATTTATTTACTAGAGGCCCGGTACATGACATTCATGCACTGGGTAGGGAAGGGGGGGCCCTCAGCCCAGCCTGTGCCCTTTAGCAGTCCACGAGCCCTTGGGGGATGTCCAACTGATGGCTTAGGCCCACCTAAGCCGCATTCGGACATTCTTAGCTCTACCGCGGAGGGGGGAGCAGCTACCACCACCGCCACTGCGCTCTTCAGCCGTCAGCCTGGCTTGTGACTGAGCAGCGCTCCCCCTGTGGGAGTGCACTGACTACCAGGGGGCAGCTCCTGCATTGAGTGTCGCCCCCTGTTGGTCAGTGCACATCATAGCAACCGGTCGTTCTGTTCGGTTGATTTGCATATTATGCTTTTATTATATAGGATTGTTTTATTAACACATAATTTTATTTATTTATTTAAAAATAATTTTTATTTTTCAATTACAGTTGACATACAATATTATGTTCGTTTCAGATGTATAACCCAGTGATTGTACATTATGTAAGTTACAGAGTGATCACCTTGATAAACCTAGTACCCATCTGACACCATACCTAGTTATTATAATATTGTTGGCTTTATTCCCTCCCATCTTTTGAAAGCCCAGTCTCCCAACTTCCACTGTCCTCTAGCAACCACCAGTTCCCTCTCTCTCTGTGTTTATGAGCCTGTTTCAATTTTGTTTGTTCATTTTGCTCTTTAGATTCCACATATCAGTGAAATCATATGGTATTTGTCTTTCTCTGACTTATTTTACTGAGCTTAATACCCTGTTGGTCAATCCATGTTATCACAAATGGTAAGACTGCATTCTTTTTTATGACTGATTAATATTCCATTGTATACATGTACCACAGCTTTTTTATCCACTTGTCTATTGCTGGGTACTTGGGTTGCTTCCATAGCTTGGCTAATGTAAATAATGCTGCAAAGAACATAGGGTTGCATATGTTCTTTTGAATTAGTGTTTTGATTTTCTTCAGATAAATCCCCAGAAGTGGAATCGCTGGGTCATAAGGCAGTTCTATTTTTAATTTTTTGAGAAAACTCCATACTGTTTTTTAATAGTGACTGCACCAGTCTGCATTCCCACTAACAGTGCACAATGGTTCCCTTTTCTCCACATCCTTGCCAACACTTGTCACTTGTGAATTTATTTATAATAGCCATTCTGACCGTTGTGAGGTGATACCTCATTGTGGTTTTAACTTGCATTTCTCTGGAAATGAGTGATGTTGACCATCTTCTCATATGACTATTGGCCATCTCTATGTCTTCTTTGGAGAGGTGTCTGTTCAGGTCCTTTGCTTATTTTTAAATTGGATTATTTGTTCTTTTGATGTTGAATAGTATGAGTGCTTTATAAATTTTGCATATTAGTGCATTATCAGATGTATCATTGGTGAGCATGTTCTCCCATTTGATAGTTTGATGGTTTCCTTTGCTGTGCAAAAGCTTTTTAGTTTGATGTAGTCCCATTTGTTTATATTTTCTTTTGTTTTCCTCACCTGAGTAGATATATCAGAAAAAATATTGCTATGAGAAATGTCTGAAGTTTTATTGCTTATGTTTTCTTCTAAAGTTTTTATGATTTTGAGTCTTACATTTAAGTCTTTAATCCATTTTCGTTTATTCTTTTATATGGTGTAAGGGGGTGGTCTAGTTTGTGGGTTTTTTTGCAAGTATCTGTCCAGTTTTCCCAGCATTATTTATTGAATAGACTGTCTTTACCCCATTGTATGTTCTTGCCTCCTTTGTCAAATATTAATTGACCATATAGACATGGGTTTATTTCTGGGCTCTCTATTCTGTTCCATTGATCTATGTGTCTGTTTTTATGCCAGGGCCATAGTAATGGAAACAGCATGGTAATGGTATTTTATCATTTTTTAAAAACAGCCTTGTGAAAATAAATTGTTTGAATAAGAAGGGCTATATTTTAATGTTTCTAAAAATACATTAGCTTTTCCATATTGCAAGGAACAGAACACAATTAGCTATCTTGCTTAGTTAGGTTTTCTAGGAAGGATAGGTACAGAGAGGCAAGGAATTGTTTATATAACTGCAGGTAGACCCCAAGTAGAACCAGGATATTATGAAGGCTATGACAACAGCTGTAATCTTCCTTTCTAGTGTTATGGTGACTCTGCAACTTGTGTCCGCCAGTTGTTACTACTGACCATCCTTATGCATTCTACTTACCTATTACTTCTGCTGCTGTCTTGTCTCTGTTGCCTCTGGGCTTCTCTTTACTGCATTCTTTCTGCATCTCTCCACTGTAATCCATCCTGATGTTTGTTGACTCTTTTTGAAGTAATGTCAAATTTTCTAAAAATAACCTGACAGACCCTGTATTTTATTACCTACTTCTTCTGCTAAGGCTATCTATGGCCTGCTATGGTTTGGACACCAATCCTTGGTCCAGTCAGGTATGGTCAGTATGGGAGGGATCATGTTCATTTTTTTAAAATATATATTTTTTGTATTGATTTCAGAGAAAGGAAGGGAGAGGGAGAGATAGAAACATCAATTATGAGAGAGAATCATTGACCAGCTGCCTCCTGCATGCCCCCTATTGGAGTTCAAGCCCACAACACAGGTATGTGCCCTTGACCAGAATTGAACCTGGGACCCTTCAGTCCACAGGCCTATGCTCTATCCACTGAGCCAAACCAGCTAGGGCAGGATCATGTTCAAATCATGTCCTTACCAGGTTGCATTTTATTGGTAAATTTATCAAATTTATCTAGTCCTGCTTGAGTTGGCTTTGCAGGACTAGGAACTTCATTTAATCAGGGTCTCAGAATAGATAGATACGGTAATACTGCAACTTCATGCTGAGAAACTCATGCTATCTATTTAAAATGAGAAATTTAGCTGTTGTGCAAAGCAGATACTTGTGACTGCTTGGCCAATTCATTTTTTCTCCCTGTGGGCAGAGCTGAACTATGGCCAGATTAGCCAGACAACTGGCCAGAGTAAAAAGCTGCGAAGTGATCTAACCAGTTTTGGATTTCTGCATGATTCCTCACACAGCTGGCCAAATGGAATTGGCTGCACGTCTGATTCAATAGATTGGTGCTTGGTAGAGATCTATTGAATGTAAAAGTTTTCTACTGCACCTTTTGTGGAAATAAGGTCAGTCCTTGCCAGTCTTTTGAGTTCTTTTCCAAGAAAACAACCATGTTGCATTTTGGTTAAAAGATGGAGGAGCTCCTAACTCTAAGACCTCCTGGTCTTTTAAAGTACAAAACAGTAACCATTTGACTCTCATCACCATCACTTATCTTGGGGAAAAGCCATTTTTCCTTCTTCTGCCCTAGGCATTCTGGCTTTACATAAATGTTATACCTTCATCCAAATTAAACTGGGCTGCCTGGAAGCCTGTTTGAGGATGGTGGATGGTGGTACATTCAAAATCAATCTCTCCCCAAATGCTTAAGACATTAATTTAATAGCACCATTAATTTAATGTTAGCAAGTTGATCTCAGATATTTATTCAAGACTTTGATTCCCTACAATGCCTTAAATCAACCATGCATTTCTAAGCTAGGAGCCTTTCTACTATTTTAAGAGGTATTTGCATATTCCTGATCTGATCCATTACCTGTTGAGTCAGTATTCACATGGTGCTACAGGAAATTGTTTAAATATGAGGCCCTGGATTGATTTCAAAGCCTAATTCTTGGATAGCCAAACTATTTAATAGTTCCTCACAATTTTGCTTGTCTGTCTTTCTTACTAAATCTTGAGCAACTTGAAGCCTGGATGGACTTTTAGTGCCAGGACTTAGCATTCTGCCTGACACATGGCTGGCACTTAGCTGGGCTTTCTTGAATATGAAAGTTCTCTGTTGTTAGAATATCCTAGTGATTTTCTTAATAACTACCAAAAGATAGAGACTGAAGATAGATTTAAGGAATTAATTAATTCAGCAGAGGAGTTAGTTTAAATCCTTCAATGTGTAGAATTACACCATCACTGTGAGGAAAAATCTTCCTTTTTCTGTAAAGGATACAATTTTAATATTGATTCAGTTTCATATTTGAGAGTAAATTGACAGAGTATCAGCCTACATTATAAAAACATGTTATAGTATATTGCTTAAGTATTTGGATTTGAACACTCTATCAAGAAGTATGAAATAATAATCAGGCCAGCAAATGCCATGGTATGTCTGCTTACTGTGATTAAAGAAACAAAAAGGGTAAGACTCCTTTGACATATCTGTTCTTTGTGTGGACATATTTGCTCTTCGTGAGAGCTGTGTTTTGAAATCTTTCAATGACTTCATATAATATATATACTGTATATATGTGTGTGTGTGTGTGTGTGTGTGTGTGTGTGTGTGTGTGTGTATTT